CAATCCATAGATTTGGGAATCCTTTTAACCCGTAGAAATAAAAATCCATTTTTGAAGTTTGGGATTTCAAATCCACATCATTAATCACACAAATTGCAAAGGGATAAAGGAAAAAAAACAAGAAAAAAAAAACAAAAATTGAACCTTCTTTAGGGCTGAAGGAACGTGATATTTCCTTGCTCATTGACGGCGGCCCTCTCCACGGCCTTCCTCCACCGCTTGCATCAATCCGTCGCTTTTTCCTCGATTGGTTGCCCGCGAGATAACGAAGAAGAGAGATAGATTTCTGAATTTCACAGAAATTGAATTTTTGTAGGTAACTTCCTTGAATTTTCTCAAGCTGTCGCTTCTCTCTCAATTGCCCGCGAAAGTTTTCCTCTTTGTCCGCGCAATTTTTTTCCCACGTTTTCCTCAGATTTTTGCACGATATTGATGAGTCACGCTGTTATAGGCACTTTCTACCTCTAGACAGGGGGTGAGAAAGTGGTTATGCCACATCATAAAAATATTAACGAAGAAAGTGACCATTGTAGAGGAAAAAATGAAGAGGGTGTCTAAAATATGTACGTGGCACGTATATTTTTAACTCAACAGTGTTGCACTGCAGATGCTCTAAGATGGGTAAGGGCAAAATGGTAAGTATATTATTTATAACACGTGTCAGACGCATAAGAGCTCACTAAAGGAATAAAATACATAAAATATTATAGTTTGTTACAGTGTAAGTAACTCCTTTTTATTAAATAAGAACTAGGGAAGAACCCACCCTGCAAAGCACGGCGAGCCCACGGTTAAATTTAGTTAATTAATTTGATATTTAAACAAATAAATGAATATAAAGTTGAATGCTAAAATTTGAACATGTAAGATAACGGGTGTTGTTATTTGTCGCCCCAAATTACTACTTGTCGCCCGAAAAAAATATTAAAAAATTATAAATTTACAAAAATATCCCTGTGATAAAAAAATGTTAATGGAAAAAAATGTATTCAAACGTCTAACAACAAAGCTCGGAAGTCAAAGAAACGTCTAGAAGCTAAGCTTGGCAGGCAAAGAAACGTCTAGCAAAGAAGCCCGACTGTGAAAACAAACGTCCAAGAGCAAAGCTTGGAAGCAAAGGAAACGTCCAAATGCGAAGCCCGACTCTGAAGAGAAACGTCTAAATGAGAAGGGGCAACAAATTTAAAACTTTTAAATTGCAAGCTTATTCTGCTGCTAAACGTCTAACTGGAAAGCTTGAGACCATGTGAAACGTCCAAGAGTTAAGCTTTAAAGCATACCAAACATCCTATATCAAAGCTTGCCTATGAAAGCAAACTTCCAGAAACTAAGCTTGGAAGCCAGGCAAACGTTCAACATGGAAGCTCCACTGTGAAAACAAACGTCCAGGAGCTAAGCTTGGAACTCAAGTAAACATCTAATTGCAAAGCTTGAATGTCCAAGAGTTAAGCATTAAAGCATACCAAATGTTCTTGTAGATGCATAAAAATTGTGGTTCATCAAATGGCGCCACGTGGAAATTAATTTATTAAAAATCAAGCCATATTTTCTATTTATATTTTAGGAATTTCCATAAATTTAGTTCCTAAATTTAAATAGTTAATTAATTAATATTTTATTATTTTAATTCTTGACCAATTAATTATTGCCAAGTGTCAAATCATATTTCTTGGTAATAAATCACATGTTTTCTAGAAGATCTTGGGAGATCTAGGTAGATCTAAAAGATCTTATGTAAATCATCATGGATCAATCAAATCGTGTCCTACGATTCTTAAATTTGGTAGGGTTCTCCCTCCTACACCTATAAATAGGGGCTCTCCCTAATGTAACAAAAAACACTTCATAATTCATATTCAAGTTCAAGAGCTCTAGAGAATTCTCTTGACAAGATTCAAGTGTTCTTGAAAATTCAAAGGCGTTTTTGAAGATTCGAAGTAAGATTCAAGCGCGTTCAACCTCAAGACTGGCGTTCAATCCGGAAACAAGCAGCAAAGCCTCCGAATAACGTTAGTAAACTCAAAACCGGCGTGGAGAAGATCCAAAGTCTACTTTGTGACGAAGACCAAGGATTCGTGTTCTTCGTGTTATTGAGATATTTCGACGGCTTTTTCATTGCTAAAGCTTATATAATCTTTCCACAAGTACTCAAATCTCTAAATACCGAACAAGAGAAGCGAAGCGTTTGATCCGAAATCAAGGCGTTGGCCCTCCGAATAATAGAGATTGTAATCTGCTATATTTATTTTGATTCGAGAAATTCATTTGAATAATATTTTTTGTGTTTATAAATATAATTCCATGTGTGATTCTGCAGGTTTCGAATTGGTATAAATTGGAGTTGTGTAGCTTGAGTTGTTGCCATTTTACTAAAGTGCTACCCATTCGAAAAGTAGTTCTCCGGACTGTTTTGTGAACTAAATGTTTATTACTTAAACTCATTGATAATTTCATATTTTGCCAATGGAGTCTTCAGAAAAGTTTTAGGAAATTGAGTTAGCTAACTTAGGGTTTTTGAATTTCAGTAATATCATGTTTGTAGCTCCTGTTATCTTGGAATTACTGAAGTGCTGTAAGTTGTTCTTTTCCTTTCCGGACTGCAACTATGTTTTGTGTTGTTGTTGATTTATCTTTGTGGCGATGTCAGAATTTGCTAAAGTTGTCTTCACAAAAATTGTATCTTTATTTCTTACCTTTCTATGAGTACCAGATTCATATTTTTATCATGACTGTAGCTCGGGTTATCCTCAAAATACTGTCATCCTGTTTGAATGTTTTATACTGCACCCTTATGTGAATTTTTGTTGATTTATCATGTGGATAATGACCTCGTCTGATTCTAAGTTGTTCTTGAGAGTTGTTGATATATGTCTTAGAAATCACATGCCACTGGTTTCATGTTATTTCGACTTATGTGCTGCTAGTTGTGATCATTTATAAATTGCTGCGCATATCATGTTTTACAAAATCACTTGTTGATTTTCTAAAATGGCACGCACTATCGAAATGCATGATTATATGACCTAAGTAATTTATTTCTTGATCCATGTAGTATGTTTGATCCTTAGATGTCCTTAGAGTTAAAAGTTAAGCAAGCCAAGATATCCACCAACCGAAAAGACTTAAACATAAAATGTTTTCAAAGTATATATATATATATATATATATATATATATACATATATATATATGTATAAGACTAGCGAGTAGCAGTAAAGCCTTGATAAGATTCTAAGACAAGTCCCAACAAATGTAGGTAATTGAGAAGTCCAGCCTCGACCTAAATAGCCTCATCTTTTAGTCCAATAGAAATGGCCTCTAAAAAATATGCACCTCTACTTTGATTGACTAAAAAATGAGGCCATTTCTATTGGACTAATGGTCTAAGTGAGATCAATTCACAACTATGAGAATTATTTGTAAACTAATAAAAAATTGCGATTCTATTAAAATATGATTCTATTAAAAAAATATTTTGTCATTAATAAATATGACTACGATTTTATTATTAAAATTATATTAAAAATAAGTGTATATCATAAAATAACAATTCTATATCCTTTTAAAGATTTGTTGCATGGGTTGATGTTAGGTTGATTATTGTAAGATATGTGGGAAAGTAGTTTGGGTGATATGTGGAAAAAATCAAATTATTGAGGAAGCTTTCATGTTGGACGTTTCTGGGTACATAAAGCTTTCCTTAAAGAAGTTTGTTGTTGTCCTAAGCTTTCTTCTGGGACGTTTGTTTGGATTCAAAGCATAACTATAAGACGTTCCTTAAAGACTTAAGCTTCCTTCTGGAACGTTTATTTGATTTCCAAGCATAGAGCTCCAGGACGTTGTTTTCACAGTGGAGCTTCCATGTTGGACGTTTGCTTGGATACCAAGCATACTTCTGGACGTTTGCTTTCATAGGCAATTTTCAATAGAGAACGTTTGGTATGCTTTAAAGCTTAACTCTTGGACGTTTCACGTGGCCTCAAGCTTCCCAGATAGATGTTTACTTGACTTCCAAGCTTAGCTCTTGGACGTTTGTTTTCACAGTGGAGCTTCCATGTTAGACGTTTGCTTTTATAGGCAAGCATTAATAAGGGATGTTTGGTGTGTGTTGTAGCAAATTTTGTTTTATATTTTTCCGAGCACCGAGTTAAAAACTCGTTTCCCGGGTCGATCTCAAGGACTGGTCAATCGNGGACCGAAAGACCTTCTAAAAGACCTAAAAATGAGGGAAAATAAATGTAAAATAACAATAAAAAACGTAACAAAAATAATCACAACAGTGTGCTTTAAAGCTTTTCTCTTGGACGTTTCTCGTGGCCCCAAGCTTTCCAGTTGGACGTTTAGCGGCAGAAGAAGCTTGCAATTTTAAAGTTTTAAATTTGTTGCCCCTTCCCATTTAGACGTTTCTCTTCAGAGTCAGGCTTCGCATTTAGACGTTTTCTTTGCTTCTATGCTTAGCTCTTGGACGTTTGTTTTCACAGTCGGGCTTCAACGTTGGACGTTTCTTTGACATTCAAGCTTAGCTTCTGGACGTTTATCTTTAGAGTCGGACTTCACATTTGGACGTTTCCTTTGCTGATCGAGCTTAGTTGATAGACGTTTGAATGCCTTTTTCTAGTAACTTTTTTTTTACCACAGGGATATTTTTGTAAATTTATCATTTTTTATTATTTTTTCGGGCGACAAGTAGTAATTTGGGGCGACAAATAGCAATCCCGAAGATAACTGATGGCATACACAAAATATAAATATTACCTTGTACATAAAAGATAGTCGTCTTTAGAACCCAGACATTCCCAACAAGACATTTTAATCATAGATAACAAAAGCAAAACATGGCTACATAACATTTCTAGTATGACAGTTATATATACTCCAAACTCACTGTCACACATAACATTCTTAGCATGACGTTTTAACTATATACATCAAAAGTAGTCAAAAGAAGTTCCAGTCTGCACAGTAATTAGAAGCACATTCAAGGAGAGTCATTCCTATTACATTAGTATTTATCAAGCCTGTGTATATAAAAGAGCGTTCTGTTGCAGGTTCCGAGGCTTCTAATTTCTCCTTATTTTTTCCCTGCCTCCATAGAGCTGAAAAATTGCTTGTCTGCTATTGTTTTATCTGGGTAGCTAAAGTTGGCACTGCTGCTCTGAGCTGAACAAGTGCCTCCTGAGGTTATGTCTGAACTCGGTTTTCCTTATTCAATGGGACCGATGAAAGGGCTTGATTTTTGCTGGCAGATTCTTCGATCGTGTAAAGCCAGTGTACTCTACTTTTGGATCCCTTGAAATGGCGAACAAAACAAATGACTTCTTTTTCTTGGACTGCAGCTGCCACTTGAGCTTAAATTCGTATGCTTTGCTCTTATAAATTGTATTAGGAGGAAAAATTATAAGGTAAATTAAATAGATGAACTAAGAAATGTAATGAGAACAAAGAGTTTGAAGAGTTATATATGAAACCAAGTAGATTCACTAAAGAATTTAAACAAACAAACCAAACAGAAAACACAGGAAATCAGTATTCATAGATATAATATTGAAGAAAAACAAATAAAGCTATACATGAATAGTTGCAGCAAACTATTGTACTGATTTGTTTGCTTAGTAAAACAAGTCTGTTCATATTTCTATTATATTCTAATGCATTAGAGATCAAGCCTGTTCACTTGTTATCTTGATTTCATTTATTGTTCCTCTTTATATTTAGAACAAATGAATCTAGAGTAAGTTAATGAAATATTTTACAAGTTGGGTTCATAATGAGCCATGGTTGAGCCCCTCTTTGATGAGAGTGTCTCAAGGCTAACCTAACTCGCTTGGAACCCACCATATCACCAACTCAGACCCGAAAATGTAAAGAGAATAAAAATGGAAATTCCTTTAATGATGTCATTACAAGAAAGCTGTCATGTATATGCACTTTAAAAGTTAAACTAAAACCAATTCACCAAGACCAAATGTATGGTTAACAGTAACTCTACCAACTATCATTAACAATACCCATGAGAACGAAAAAAAACTAATAACATTACTAATTACTCGACTCCCTTATCAAAGAACACACATTACTATGCTCATTACTCAAGTCCTATGCAGTCTCATTCCAGAACCTTAGTCAACTACAGTTAAACCGTCTTTCAAAGTTAAGTGTTATTATTAATTCAAAACTTATCAAAAGCCAAAACCCTAAACACAAGACCCAGTTTCCGGCCCGAAATACTTCACCTCCAACTTAAGACATTTCATTCCAGAACCTTAGCCAAACGGTTACAACTGCCTTCAATAAGTGTTATTATAAGTTCACAACTTATTAAAAACCACAACCGTAAACACACGACCCAGTTTTCTGTCCGAGATACTTCAACTCCGACTTACGACAATTTATTCTTTCCCCAAACTGGGATATCCTTTTTCTCAATAACTGCCCCAACACATACATCAGTGTAAACCATATTTTGAGTGTATAAAATCACTGTCCAATTCATGAAGCATGCAAAGAGAACAACATTCTTAAACTAACCCCAGGCAGCGTTCTCTTATTATGAAAAACATCAACCTCCTTGTAAGCTTCCTCTTTGGATGGACATATGACAAAGCAACACCCTACCACACAAATCACCATAATTAGACACTCCATGAATTACAAATCGAAAAATCAAACAAAACCCACTGCACAACACACGTTACTATCCATGATTAAAAAAAGAAAAAAAAATGAGAAATTACACAATGAATTCGTCACAAAAGGAAACCCAAAAAGAAAGATACACAAACACACATAACCTCAACAGACTGCCGCAGAAAATTGTCAGAAATAGACGCTCCATGAAACAAGGATACATGAAATAGGATAGTTGTTTGTAAATGTAAAAAAAATAGAAGGTAATGTTGTTTAACCATAATTCAACACTATAATGAGTATAAAAAAAGGTACTATGGGAAAATATGGGTAATGTTTAAATAGCTTATCAACTGTCAAACAAACAAATATAAATAAAAGTTACACATACTATTTTTGCTCTTATATGATATTCTTATGTCAACAACACAAAACAATGGTAACCTAGTTATAAAAAAGTAATTGCACCAAGCAATAAAAAAATACTAACATTTTTTCAATGTAAATGTAATACAAACATATGTACAAAACAATGGTAACCTAGTTATAAAAAAGTAATTGCACCAAGTAATAAAAAAGTACTAACATTTTTTCAATGTAAATGTAATACAAACATATGTATATATTAAAAGAGTTTATGGTGTGAATTTCTGAATGCCTTTCTATTGAACATGAAAACTCTTTAAATAGGGAATGATACAACATAATAAAAGGAAACAATATATACCCCAAATCAATCACAATAAATAATAATCACAGAAAATCAGCCGAGTATCTTGGCTGATTATATGCATTGCTAAGACACCCTTTCAGTTTGAGCGGGCGGTGGACAGATGCTCAAGCTAGAATGAAATGACTGGAATAGCTGTCGAGAGAGCCTTTTGGTGAAAATATCCGCATATTGCAATGAAGAAGGCACATGAAGCACGCGAATGTGTCCTACACGAACTTTCTCACGAACAAAATGTATGTCAATCTCGATGTGTTTCGTCCTTTGATGCTGAACTGGAATATTGGAAAGATACACTGCTGAGATGTTGTCACAGTACACAACTGAAGCATGAGTAAGAGGCGTGTGCAACTCAATAAGTAAATTGCGTAGCCATGTGGCTTCAGCTACCGCATTGGCAACACCCCTGTATTCGGCTTCAGCGCTGGATCGTGAGACAGTAGGTTGCCGCGTGGAGGACCAGGAGATCAGATTGTCACCGAGGAAAACACAATATCCCGAAGTCGAGCGACGGGAGTCCGGGCAACCACCCCAGTCAGCATCAGAATAAGCCACCAATGAATGAGATGCGGATTTGATGATACGTATACCATAGTGAATCGTCCCTTGAATGTAACGGATGATCCTCTTCATGAAGGCAAAGTGAGAATCTCGAGGCTCATGCATAAACAAGCAGATCTGCTGAACCGCATATGATATGCCAGGTCTCGTAAAAGTAAGGTACTGTAAAGCCCCGACAAGACTGCAATATAAAGTAGGATCCGAGAACAGTGGGCTATCTGCACTGCTCATTTTGGGCGATAGGTCTACTGGAGTCGTGCACGGCTTACATGAAGACATGTTGGCCCTAGCAATTATGTCCTGTGCGTATTGTGCCTATTGAGCCTGTGAAAGAAAAATACCATGGGAATGTGGGGAGACTTTGATGCCCAAGAAGTGATGTAAGCGGCCCAGATCAGTCATAGAAAACTCTCATGACAAAGTGGCAATTATTTCACGCAAAAGCTTGTCATTAGACGCAGTGAGAATTATGTCATCAACGTATAATAGCAAATAAGCAGTGTTGGACGAACCCTGATTATAAATAAATAATGAGTTGTCGCATGCACTGCTACGAAACCCATGAGTGATGATATAGTTAGCAAAGCGGGTGTACTAGGCCCGTGGTGCTTTCTTGAGCCCGTAAAGTGACTTTTTGAGACGACATACCAGGTTGGGTGCCCGTTGATCATAGAAACCGTGAGGTTGGTGCATGAAAACGGTTTCATTGAGATCCCCCTGTAAGAATGCATTTGTAGGGCCCCGTTCGTTTATGGAATATTTTGGATTTTTAATTAAAATTATTATTATTATTGTCATTATTATTATTATTTTATTATCATTATTACTATTTTATTTAAATGCCTAATTGTCAATTAAATGCTTAAATGTGTATTATTATTTAATTAATTAATGTGTGTAATATATATATAAATATTATGTCGATTTTATTTTAAATTGTCAATCGTTGGAACCAAGCCGTTAAATTCTATTTATTGCGGCAGCGAGATTATATTTTCAGTTTTATCGAGCCCGAGAGAACTGTACGCTCTTAACCGAACCTTCGGCCCATTTAACCGGCGCCCCGGCCCACTTAAGCTCATGACCCTAAGCCCGAATTTTTATTTCGTTCCCTTCTCTATTTTTCGTTCGTGTAGAGATGTCTTGGGGTGCAAGATCATTTTTTTTTTACCCTAGGCGTAAGTATATATGTATATTTCTCCTTCTCAGTCGTTCTCTTCTCAGAACCACGCAGCCTCAAACAGATTTATTTTTCTCTTCGATCGCATCTCCTCCATCGATCCTCTTCCTCGTTTTTCTGAATTTTCAATCATCACCATCGTCGCCATCTTGCCGGCGTGAAGCAGATCACCTCACCTTCGTCATCTCGTCATCACCACCCATCATCGCCATCCTCGCAGATTTCTGACGTGAAGCAGATCGCCACCATCGCGGCCGTCCAGCAACCCGCACGAACCAACTCCGGTGACCCCCTGTTCGAATTTTCCGGTGAGTTCGAGCAGCCACGAGCCCAGACGGCGAGAACCTCCCTCTGTCGTGATCCTCCCGGCAACCTGCTCATTCACCGCGCCGTGACCAGGGATCTGCCGCGTCGCAACGCCACCGCGGGAGTTCTGCCGCGACGCCTTCACAGTCCCTCCGCCACGCCGTGAAGCAGACCTCCTCCGTTCAGCACCTCTGTTCGTGAGATTTTTCCGGCGACCTCTCCGTTCAGCACCTCGACGAGCAGCGACTCTGGCCGTAACCAGCAACAGCGACGACCCGTCCTCTGCCGCTGACCTCCTTTCCCGGCGAGACGCGAGAATCCGTCAAGCCCGTTCGAACCCTTCTCACCCGATTCTCGAGAGCGGTATCGAGTCCCGTCTTCCCGTTTATTTTACGTAATTATCGTTGTGTTATATGGTGATATGTGAATTCGTATAAGTTATGTGATTATGTTTTCGATATATGTGTTCGATTAGAGAATATGTGAAAATCGAGAATTTATATGAAAGATATGATTTTATGTGTCGTTTATGTTGTTCGGGATCTCTTCAATTATGAGAAATTGAACGAGACCTCGAAAGTCGTGTAAGTCAGTGGATATTGGAACAAAGTCGAGTCCTTGGTCTTACGAGAAGGCCTCGGACGAGAAATTTCGTGTTATGATATAATTGTTAAATTGTCGAGCATATATGTCGCTGTTTTGGTGTTTGAATTTTTAAAAATCGCACACTTCTCGGAATGACTTGAAATTTTGAGGGATACATTTTATGTTGTTTGCCATGCTTGTGTAAACATTTCATAATTTTTAGAGGCCTTTAACTATTTTTAATAATTAAAGTGAATTCTTATCGGAATATTGTTTAGTGCTTAATAAATTGGTTTTTGAATCAAACAAGCTGAAATTTTAACACGATGTGCCTATGATATTTTTATATGTTGTGCTAAAGTTTTAGAATTTTTGGACTAAGTTTGATAGGGTAAATAATTTATTTTCTGAATCTGCAGGAAGTTGTTTGA